TAGGCTATGAACACCTGCAATATCAGGGGCATTACGCGCTGATGAGACGCTGTAACCCAAACTACCAAACATCCCCTGAAGAAGGACCTTTACGGATAAATTCACTTTCTCCCGCGCACAACCACACTTTGGAATCAACTTCCAGCAGCAGTATTTCCGAACCGATACGACAACATAATCTTCAAGAAAAGAGCATATTCCTTTTTAAAAGGCCGGCAGCACACCTGCAATGCCGTTAGTGTTGTGGGTGATCATGGGCGGCGGTAGTCACTTACCAGGTGAGCCGCATGCTCGTTTGCCCCCTGTGTTGTAAAAAAAAGTCGAAACAATTGTCGGAAACGACAAAAACGCAGTGAGTTCATTAATTTCCCGTTACATATATATACATATATGTAAGTATATCCTTTCAGATAAAAAAAAATACTTCTCTAAAGCGGTTTATAACTGACGGGGTTTTTTCTAAAAGATGATAATGGAATGGCAATCCCGCCCGCGCTGACGATATACCCTGGCGGGGCACCAGTGAGGGATGAGAGGTGAGAATGAAAAGGCAGGTCAGTTAACCCATCGTGATGAATACACCTGGGATTCAGCACGATGGTTTCCAGGGAGGACCACGTGGAGGTCGACCTGACATATTGCTAGCTATGGGACTGACGTGGTTATGAGGCAACCAACATAAAAATAAACCGAGTTTAGAATCTCCTTCTTTCAAAGTAAGTTAAAAAAGTAACGCATGTAAGGCATTAGCCCACATATGTAACAGAAATAACTCTCTTACAATTTGGCAGGAGTTCTTACGTTGTAATATTGTTATAATTGGCAATTATTCGTATATTCTTTGTAATGATGGTGATGAATGTATTACAGAGTCTTCTTCAAAGGTATAGAAGGTTTTCTAAATATAACAAATTGCGATTTTTGAATACGTACCTACATTATGAAATAAATAGGGAAGATCATTAACGATTACTTTGTATCTACCGCTATAAAATAAATGTAAATTCTCTATCTAAAATCAATAAATAAATAATATATATAAAATAATAAATAAAAAAAATAATTAGTAGTTTTTTTTTTTAACATAAACCCATAGATGGATACCGAGTTCTAAGTTCGAAACATTTCAATATGTCCAACATTATATTGAAATATTTGAATTTAGAATGCCAAATGCATATGAACAAGAATAGGTAACTTGTAACAATCAGTTTTTTTTTTTCTTAAGAAAAAAATAAGCCACAATAATTGTAAAATTATTCTATGGATATTATTATGTGTAAATAATGTTTGTTACCTTATAATTCCGTAAGTTGTAAACCAATTTGGAAATTTATTTTTTTATCTGAGAGAATATACTTATATATTAGTTCTATGGACCTTTTATCTGCCTCGGTACAGTAGTTTAATTTGTAGATCAAAGTAACTGATTTTGTCACAATTGGAGTCAGTTTTTTAATTATACTGCAAAAGCATGTCTGTTACCTGTTTATGTCTAAGCAAAATAAAGTCTATTATTATTAGAAATAAAAGCTCTTTTTAAGTAATAAATTTTATTATTATATTCCATTCTTTTCGATACAAAATTACAAATAAACATTACAAACCTACTAAAACAATGTTTAATTTCTTAAATAGTGTTTTGTCAAATATTGTTTAGATAAACCGTATTTTAGTATTTTTTTTTTATAGTAAGACCATGTACCGACCATATATGACCAATTTAAAAAAAGGTGGAGTTTTTCAATTCGATTGTATTTTGCTACTTTATTAACTCCGTCATTTATAAACCAAAATATGTTTTTTTTTCTGAAACGACATATTTTCAAATTGGTCCCATCTTATCAAAATCGATTCAATAGTTAATTTAGTTTTATATAAACATAACTCTGGTCTCGCCAACATTGAAGTTGGTATTTTTTTGTGAAATAAATTCTTAAATTATTTTAGAAATAGTTTTAATTTCAACTAAACTACATAGTTATTAGTTCTATCTAAACTGGATAGTTTAGATACGGCATAGTAATTCAAAATTGACATGAAGTGAAACGTGTGTGTGTCTGTTTTTTTATACAACTTGAAATGGCAAACCATTTAACAGCTCACCTGATGGAAAGTGGTAACCGTCGTCTATAGACATGAGCAGTATCATGGACATAACAGAGTATACTGTTTCGCTCATGATACCCTCCATGCGTTGCCATTCCTGAGGACTCAGGTGTTATTCCTCTGTACCCTGTAAATTCACGCTATATCCCACCCTTCAAACCGAAACACAGCCATGCAAACACATCTGCTTCACGGTAGATTCACGAATGGGACAGAGATGCCCAACCAAAAGTATTCTGTGTGTACGTAAGTGGTCAAATCGGGGCAAATGTGGGTCAGCACAATAACAAAGGGCACAGGAAATCCCGCCGACGTCTGTTCTCTAATGAGTTCACTGTTCAACTTTGTTTACGATTATTGTATATGGAATGTGGAGCATTGCGTGATTTAATTATTAATTTGACATAGTATTTTTAAATGTTAGGACACTTGTTTATAATTATAATGTTGTATCAAATTAGATGTGCTTTGCACGCTTAAATAACTTTTCTTTATAATAAAAAAAAAAATGCTTATAAAATGAATATGCACTTTTATCGAAGGACGCCATGACAGACTCCCTTAATTACATTTTCCAATGTTGCCAACCTTAGGTACAATAATTTCCAATGTACTACAATAATTACTCCTCTCCATCCAAAGGTTGTCTGGAAGAGATCGTTCTTAGCGATAAGGTCGCCCATTGTATTCTCATTGTGATTATTTCTTGTAATTGTTTACATTTATAATAAGTTTACTATTGTAATCTTTTGAAGGAAACAATAAAGAGTACTATTCTAGTCTATCTTTATATATTTTCTTATCTATTTATATATATATATATATATATATATTTATTATCTTTTATTATTCTAGTCTATCTATCTATCTTAATACGATATGACGAAGTTTTTTTTTTTATATAATGGGTGATAATGATATGGTAACCCCGTCTGCGCTATCGGTATACACTGGCGGGGCACCAGTGATAGATGACTGATGAGGATGAAAGCAGGTCAGTTAGCCCATCTTGATGAATTCAACTAGAATTAGCCACAATGGTTTCCAGGGGGAACCACATGGTGGACCTGACAGGGTATATTGCTAGTAATGGGGCTATTTGATCCCATTACTAACAATCCCTTTCCTCCCAATACGACGAAGTTATGAACATTACCATAGAAGGTAAGATAGAAGGAAGGATGGGAAGAAGGAGCTTAAGGCGTAGTTACATCAGGTAGATCAAGGAAAAAGTTGGTGTCGTGTCGTATCAAGAGGTGAAGAGACTTACTAACAATCGTAGTGAGTGGCAAGAGCTCCACCAACAAGAGTGCAGCTCTTAAATATGATAGATAGTATTTTTAACCGACTTCAAAAAGGAGAAGGTTCCCATTTAAATTTTTTTTTTTCATATCTATTCCCTAATTACTCAGAGACGCCTAGATCGATTTGGAAAATTATTTTTATCTGAAAGAATATATTTTCAGATTAATATATACAAGCACTATCAGGTTGAAAATAGAAATTTTATCAATACAAGTTTAGTAGCCTACTAGTAGTTAAGTATTTTTTTAGTTAAAAACTAATTTACACTAAAAAAAAATATTAGATATTTTTAATTAAAATTTAATGTCGGTTTTCATTGTACAAAGTAGTCTTTTGTTTACAAATAGTGAATACATTCAGCCCTTAAGTCCACCCTGTAGACTTATTTCTATGTGTGCAAAAGTATAAATAAATAAATATTAATACAGTCTAAAATAAAGTCCTGCCCTGTCCCAATTAATACGCGAAAACCTAATTGTTTCAACCCGTTAAAGCGTTAACAAATTATATAATTTTCACATTAATTATAAATAATAATTAAAATTGTATTATATAATATAAGTTTATTTATAATTTTATTGGTCTCTATACAATGCAACGTCAGTTGCAATATCAAACCAAATTACATTACATTGTTAACTGCATTTCGCGGTACTACTCATATGTATGAAGTAATTATACAGAATCGGACGTGTCATAAAAAGTGTCATTTCCATACATACTCGTAACGAACCAAAAGATTACACAATAATATTTAAATGTTAACAATATTATACGTATAGCATGTGACTTGTGAATTCGTTGTGAAAACAATCATAAATACTTTATTTTCACAACGATAATGAAGTTTGAAATTCACGTTTGCTGTGGTGATGTTATTTGTTGTACTTTATTTTTTATTCATTGAGCGACTTCCAAAAGTAATAATATAAACCATACCAAATTTTATATATATATATATATAAATATTCTAATCTGACGACTAATTCATCATCATTTCAGCCATTATCCGTCCACTGCTGGACATAAGCCCCCCTCCCCCATAAACTGCCATAAAGAGCGGTCCTGAGCCACCTGCATCCTGGTCGTCACTCCATCTAGTGGGGGATCGTCCGACACTGATTTTTTTTTTTTTAATATTGAGAAAAAGTTTCCTTTGAGATAAATTGATAACTATTCTTATTTATGGTAACTTTGCTATGCCTTTTAATTCCATTAGGTATACAATTACTGGCATTTACTGTAATCTATATGTTTTTTCTATTCTGAACAATATACATGTATAAATTTCATAACAATGGGTTGTTAGGTCACTGCTGTTAAGACACCGAGAGGTAACAAACTAACGCATTTTCACATTTATTATATTAATAAGGCTTAAAACCGTTATAAATTTATTAAATACACATTTCGTAGTGGCAATGTTATGTGTCATAATTTAATATTAAGTATCACAACTTTAACATTAAATTTCACAAATGCATTATCAAGTTTCACAAATATAACATTAAATTTCACAACTATAACATCAAATATCGCAACTGTAATGTTAATATCGCAATAGTAACTTTAGTTTTTCTTTACAGTACCGACATCCGATGTTCAAGGAGTACTGGGGAAGAAGGCCTCGCTACCGTGTGATATACAGCCTCTCAACGCTGAAGATGACGTCGTAATGGTTCTATGGTTTAAAGACTTAGACGGAGAACCGCTATACAGGTATGTGATTTTATTATAATATTTAAGCTTATTTTATCACAGTTTGGTTTGATGTTAAGCGATGACGTAGCCTAAAATAAAGTAACAAACCCAAATAATGTCTATTCACTCCAATCTTGAAGGACGACAGATTACATACTATCACTTGAAAAATTTAGACTTCGGGAGAGAAATATATTTCTTGGCTATTCGAATGAGAAAGCTAAGATACGTAATTCTTTTGCTTGTGAATGAATAAACAATACACTCCGCAATTTACTTGTGAAAGACAATAATATCAGTTTAAATTAAATATGAAATATTTGTAATTGTAAGTTTTTGTAAGTTTATCTACACTAATATTATAAAGAGGAAAGATTTGTATTTTTGTGTGTACGTATGTTTGTAATGAATAAACTCAAAAACTACTTTGCCAATTTAAAAAATTCTTTCACCATTAGAAAGCTACATTCACCTTGAGTAACTTAGGCTATATTTATTGTTAGAAAAGATTAAGGATCCTTACTAAAACTTTAGTAACGTAACTCAAGGTGTAAAAAAATGCTATAAAATACCTTTCGTCACGTGCGCTGCAGTAACTATTGGTCATAGAATAAGAGTATGTCGTATATGTATATATTGAAGAAAATATCAATAACTACAAATAACTTCGCGATACTATATGTTCAACTATTATCATTATGTTACAATAACCACTTTTTTTCATGTTGTAAAAATGTCCACCCGTGCGAAGCCGGGACGGGCCGCTAGTTAATTGATATATCATAAATAATATTATATTACGATCCTTTTTCGAAATCTCGTACAGACTCATTTCAACTTAGAGAGTTTTGTCACTTTCTTTCAAATTGAAAATTTCGCGAAAAATAAATAAGTCAATTAATTTAATATCTAATTATTTAATTATAAACAAATAAATAATTTAATTAATTTAATCACATTAATAGCTAAACCAGATTTATGATAGGGCGTAGTATCTTGAGAAAGCATCGTTGCATTTATTGGAATAGTTACTACGCCTAAAGTTGTTCGAAAGACTAATATTAATACTGTACTGTATAAAGAGAGATTAATTGCTTAGTTTACAAGGTATGATACCTTGATCATCAATCTAGATATATAATGATCCACGCCAGTTTTGAAAAGTTTATGCTCTGAATTGTCTAGATTGTAACTTTTCATTTAATTTTCTCAAATCCCTTGTGTAATTTTGAAGCTCTTTATTAGACATCTATGAGATTATCTAATTGATTTATTATCTTCATTGGACCTTTGACAGATTACTTTAGTATACATGTCTTGGGCCTATTCAACACTTATGTTTTTAGCTTCAATATATTTTTATATTGCTTTATCACGTAACATAATAAACGAAGTATCAAATAGTTAATTCTACCTATCTTTAAGATATACTCGTAGATATGTATAATGATTAATAAAATACACGAGATAAGCACCTTCATTTTGTTCTACAAAATTTTTCTTATACCACTAGTCGAATGACTTGATCCTTCAAGCTCCGTATTTGGAATAAGAAATTAATATTTAGTATATTTTCGAAACATTGTGAAAAGGTGTTTCTATATATATATACATATATATACAAATTAATTCTTCATGTAACAGGATATAGTACACAAACTATGGCTCAGTCCATCTTGTAGAGAAGAGTTTTGTTTACAATGTATCCTGGACACTATTATGCTCACGTTATTCCTCACATGTTGCAATTTCTTAGAACTAAGGGGCCAGTAATTCCACTGTTATATCTTTCAGATGACTTTTTATAAATTTTAATTTCTCCTCTGGATTAGTTACGATAAAAACATGTAGTAGACATATTTATGACCAGTTACATTCAATAGTAGGATATCCAATGCAATAACTATTAATTTCTATCTACAATTTTATTAATAGTTCTTAAATTATTTACTTTATCATTTTCATTGTTCGATTGTTGCTTATTTTTGTGTTTTAGTAACCACAATACTCTAACTATATCCAGGTTACCAATGATGCACTTCTATTGATACATTTCGAATTATTTTGCCCAATAATATTTTCTAAAGAATTTGTTGGAAATTTTGCACAACAGTTGGAAGTTTTATTTCTGACTTTTATAATTCAAATGATCTTCTTGACTGTATCCCAAATAGTATCCCATCAGTGTATATTTTTCTCTTTACTTTACGTTTATTTGCATTCATCTTCACATTCATTCCTTTTCTAGCTATATCATCTTTCATACAATCTATCTATTTATTTATAAGTCTAGCTATAAGAACAATATAAATACAAAAAAAAATACAAATTTGATGACACCGTAAAATGTATAATTTTTTTCTTAGCTACGACATCCGAGGTCGCTCAATGACACAGCCAAAACTGTGGTCTTCTCCACTGGTCTTCGGAAGCAGAGCATTTTTCCGAGGTGGAGCGACTCCAGCGGTCTTAATGGTAGATAATGTAGTTGCCATGGACGCTGGGGTATATAGATGCAGGGTAGACTTCAAGAATTCACCAACGAGGAATTTGAGAGTCAATTTTACTGTAATTAGTAAGTATTAACCGCACATCCAGATCTTTAACAAATATTTAGAGTTTGATTATTTAGGTTTATATCCCAAATAATTGGGTAATTTTCAACAAGTGCGACTCCAATTTCGGTGGACCCTTCAACTGTGTTTTCAACTTCGAATCTCCAAAAAAGACGATATCCCCGAAATATAGAAGGAATCGTTTTCTAAAATACTTTTTGGAGACATCAACTTTTCTAAAGACCCGAAACCAAATAAGTTCACCAAATTTAGACAGAAATCTCGATCTTGCTAATAATCACCCAATTGTGTTTATCTTCAGTTAATAAACTATTCACTTATAATTAATACTAATGATAATCATTATTTTTATACACTTTAAAAGTGATAATCAAACATAGAGCCCGTCTAATGATAAACATGCAAATTGTTGATCTAGGAAAAACTTTGAAAACATATTGCACGCGACCATTTAGATTATTGAGTCTATGTTAACGGATGAAAATGGAATGGTAACCCTATCTGTTATATCGGTTTATATACACAGGATACCACTGAAGAACGATAGGTAACAATTTCGGAAGATATTAATCACGACGGTTTAGGGTTAGAATACCCCTGAATCCTGGCGTTGTTTTTCTTCTAAATTTTCTTTCATTACATTACAACTTTTGCAATTAAATGGGTAAATATTTTAAAAGCATTGTTCATTTCAGTTCCGCCAAGCCGTCCTACGATATACGATTCATTGAGAAGAGACAGAACGAAATTAGTCGAGCCTTACAACGAAGGTTCTAATGTGATGCTCAGCTGCGAAGTTGAAGGAGGTACAGTATAATTTATCTTTTAACACCTTATACAGCAGGCAGATTCTAAACATATGATATTGTTTGCCTATAATAAACGATCATATACAATTTATTAACATGAACCACGAAAAAAAATCGACTTCATTCGTATCAAAATCAAATGGCTTAATTGAAAAATCCATATATTTTGATTTTAAAAACGAAACTATTAAACCGATTTTGATAAAAATTCTAAGAAATCAATCTGAATGTTAATCTTTTTAAACGAAAAAAAGAATTTTTCGAATCGGTCCATGTGTCTTCGAGGAATCAGCGAACATAAATAAAAATAAAAATTCTGCCGTTGAAAGACGAAGAGAACGTCGTCCTTTTTTGAAGTCAGTTAACAATTAGAATCGAATAAGTTTATTTTTTTAAGAGAATTAGCCATTTGTACAATATAGCTATGACCCCACACTTTACAAAGCCTGTGTTGTGGAAATCAAAGCAGGAAATTTAACATGCATGCATGGTTTGTATGGCCGTGTGTGTGTGTCTGTATGTGTGTGTAATTTAAAAGCTCCTATTAGGAGACACTTTAAAACTACGCAAATATCATCTAAATAATTGCTTCGAACACTCGCATCGATACTTCGACTCTAAACGATATAAAATCGATTCTGTTATCGGATTATTTTTAATCGATTGACTATATCGATAATAGCCTGCCGACTGTGTTATTAAGCCGACGTACACTGTACTTCTATAATTTAAATGAAATATTTTGTCTATTAAGTTGTTCGCTTAAATACTTTTTAAGTGCGGCTCTTTAAAGTGAGTTTTTTGTTTTTTTTCATTAAACTAATAGTTCTTATTTATGCCCATCAAATGTTTTGATAGTTATTTGATAGTAATGTTTAAATTAGAGAATAGAATTTATGAAAATCACAATGTTGTTATTATTATTCTTAGTAATAATAGTATTGTAAACTGGACTATAATTTTGCATTTTTAAGTGTGCAGTAAAAAGTAAATTACAATGAAGAATTAAGAATGTGTTTTATAAAAAGAAATCGTCTTCAATAATGGAAAAACCAGTTATTTTGACTTAAAAACTAAATTACTCACATCTCTATATTTTAGAATTAATATAATTTCATCGTGCCTCCGATCAAACTGTTTATAATTATTTTTTTCCATCCAAAGGTTGCCTGGAAAAGATCGCTTAAGCTTAGCGATAAGGTCGCCCATTGTTTTCTCATTGTGATTATTTCTTGTAATTGTTTATAGTTATAATAAGTTTACTATTATAATCTTTTGGAGGAAACAATAAAGAGTATCTATCTATCTATTAAACGTTGCCATTCTTGAGGACTCAGGTGTTATTCCTCTGTACACTGTAAATTCAAACCATATCCCACCCTTCAAACCTAAACATAGCCATGCAAATACAACTGCTTTACTGTTGAAATACGAATGGGACAGAGGTATCCAAGCAAACGACTTTTGTACAAAGTCTACCTCTGGTAAACAGATCGAATTATGAGATAATAAATATAAAAAATAAATAAATACGACCGAATTGGAAACCTTCTTTACAAAGTGGATTAAAAACAGAGGACCAGACTTTCCATTAATTGGACCGTCAACTTGTTTGCCATTCTAAGTTGTATAAAAAAAAAACAATCTGACAGTCTACTTGTTAAACAGTGGTAACTGTCGTTTAAAGACGCAAGCAGCGTTAAAGATATCACAAAATAATATCCTGTTCCGATCAAACTGTTTATAATTACTCCTCTCTATCCAAAAGTTGCTTGCAAGAGATCGCTTTGTTTCCTCACTGTGATCATTTCTTGTAATTACTTATATCTATAATAAGTTTATCACTGTAATTTTTTGGTGTACTGTATTATACTATATATATTTTAAATTTTATGATCTGATACTGCTTAGTAGTTTGTTTTCACACAAATTTTTTATTTATATAATTAAAAAATATATATATTATTCTCAAATTCATGTATAATATAGTATATATCATATATGTGTAAGTATATTTGTTATTCATATATATTTATTCGTTTATATATGTAATTTTAGTATGTATGTATATCAATAATTAGTAGTACCGCATTCGAGTATTCTAACACTTCCCTATGGTTGACTGGGAGAGAATGCTTTTAGCATTAAGTCCGCCATGTACACATATTTGTACTAATAAATAAATAAATAAATAATTAAACTTATTGAAAAAAGCAACAGCTGAGTTTCTTGCCCGTTTTTCTTGGCAGAAATTGCGTTCCCAATGAACGATAATGACAAAAATGACTTTTTAAAAATGTTTAAATCTAAGTTTACCTTAATTAAAATGTTTCTTTCTTTCTTTCTTAGAGTAAACTAGTCCATCTATCTGTCTATCTATATATCTACAACAACTGCGTACCCTCCGCAATACCATTTTTAAAGACTGGATATTGATCTAATTTATTTATGACAGATTAATGTAAAATAAATCAAATTACTTTCAAATCTTATCAATATTCCGAATTCGAAAGTGCTTCAAATTATTTTTAGATTACTGATTAAAATGTCATATCCAGATAGACTAAATCCTAGACTAGATAATTATACAGAATAATTCTTATCTTATTTAATCTAATCTAAGAACGAAAGAAGAAAGAAATGTTTTTATACGAGTAAATTAAAATTTAAACATTTTTGAATGGTTATTACTTCGTTATTTTATATTATTTTATTGCTCATTTAAAAAAAAAATAAGTGAAAAAGAATGAGAAAAAACTAAACTAAATCTTACATAGCCGTTATTACAATTTAATTTAATTTACAGGAAAACCAAGACCTCGTGTAACGTGGTATCTGGAAAACACAGTCATCGATGACTCATACGAACAGCGGCCCGATGGCATCACTGTGAACACACTGACCTTTCCCAACGTTGGCAGGCAGCATTTCAACGCAAGACTGATTTGTCAAGCTTCCAATACGAATTTAGCACCTCCAGAAACCAAAGTTCTCATATTAGATATAAATCGTAAGTATAATCATTATGTTATTTATTTTATTTAAAACAAACTAGTTCTCACTAGATAGAGCGATGACCTCAAATGTATTGCAGGGAGTCAGTAGATGCAGGTGGGTTTTTTTTAACGGGTGATAATGGAATGGTAACCCCGCCTGCGCTATCGGTATATACCGGCGGGGCACCAGTGAAGGATGATAGGTGACAATGAAAGCAGGTCAGTTAGCCCATCGTGACGAATTCCACCAGAATTAATCACGATGGTTTCCAGGGGGAACCGCGTGGAAGTCGACCTGACAGGGTGTATTGCTAGCAATAGGTCAGTTAGACCCCTTTACCAACAATCCCTTTCCCCCAGATGCAGGTGGGATAGGACTAGGTAGACTAGGTAGACTGTTCCATACGGCAGTCTATGGGGGAGGATGTTCAGCAGTGGACAGATAATGGCTAAGATGAGGATGTTGCTAAGAATAACATAATTTCATATTTGTTTTACATATTATTATATATTAGGCCACTATTTCCTTTCCCGTGGGTGTCATAAGAGGCGACTAAGATGGGTAGCAGCGTCTCCCTTAAAAAATCTTCAAAGCCCGATTGCAGTTGCCAACCCGCCTGCCGAGCGTGGCAACTACTGGCAAAACTCCCTTTATAGAGAAGGCTTATGTCCAGCAGTGGACAGTTATCGGCTGAAATAATAATAATAATAATAATGGTTTCCACCTTCTATTAGAAAGTTCACAGTTTGTTCACCAATTTGAATAGCGTAAGACAAAACCACAAAGGTATTGTTTTGTTGCATATATTTCCTGAGACATACAATTTGACATGAGATAATTCTTAGAACCAGTACAGGTAGAGGTACGATAAATAAAGCCCAGTTCTTAGCTATTCGACAGTTAGCGAAATTAATTTCTCAAATTTATCGCAAACTTTCCGCCAAAGTTAAATTCTAGGGTAACTGTTTCTGAGAATATTTAAATACCCGCTGATATTATGAGAAACAGTTAAAAGTTATATTTAATTTTGTTAATTTGGTGTTGTTTGAATCTTTATAAAATATTAGAGATGTTTGCTTTTCCTGTTTCACGTTAAATGTTCAAGAAATTATATAGAATTATGAAAGCGGGCGAAGAGCGAATTGTATGTAAACGTATGTAAGGATTGAGGTTTTTGGCATTCGGTTCTATTTACAGCCTCATTATTTCAGCAGTTAGTAGATCATACATGAATATAGAACTCCCCCGTAGACTGATCACCCCATAAGAAATGATCCTATACCTCACACTTACGTTGCCCTGCACTCCATTTACATATACTACATCATCATTCTGCCTTCGATTTTCGATTCGTAGAGTTTTTTATTGTCCATATATATTGTTAATTCATTGCAACTTTAGCTTGCTTATTATAAATAGTGAAATATCTAATTCATATATACCGACTTAGCCCAGAAGATTAGTAAACTGAAGTTTATTAAGTGGTCAATTTGTACAGGCAAAAGCAGTGTAAGACGATCCCCCACTAGGTGAAGTGACGACCTCGAATGCATTGCAGGCAATCAGTGGATGCAGGTGGCTCTTGGCTGTTATTTTCGGCACCCTATGAGGATGCCTGTGTCCAGCAATGGACAGGTAATGGCTGATATGATGATGATGATAGATTTACTGATTTACGTCGCCTTCTATTATTACGTTTGGATTTAGATCATCTATCCATTTTGAAGTTTGTCCTAATGGGAGATTGGCGTGACAGATATGTATACATATGTATTTGAGGCCTACTAATTCCTCATCTGTGGAAATATCAACAGTATTGATATAACATAAGGGATATCTTGTTTCAGTAAAACCGATAACTGTATCAATACTGTCAAAGGAGAAACAGGTATCAGCCGACAAGCGTTACGAAGTGGAATGCAAGACGACTGGATCCCGACCAGAGGCGTATGTTACATGGTGGAAGAACAACCGGCAGTTAAAACGGATGGCGAAAAACGTACTTTTTTTTTTATATATTTGTTTTATTTATTTTGTTATTTTGTAATACATGGATAGATAACAATGCAGTATTTCCGAACCGATACGACAACATAACCTTCAAGAAAAGAGTATATTCCTTTATAAAAGGCCGACAGCACACCTACAATGCCGTTAGTGTCGTGGGTGATCATGGGCGGCGGTAGTCACTTACCATCAGGTGAGCCGCATGCTCGTTTGCCCCCTGCGTTGTAAAAAAAACAATGCATGGTGAAAGAAGAAAAGTCCTCTGTGATCAATCTTCGTGTATATATATATATATATATATATATATATATATATATATATATATAACATAAAAAAATAGTCAGCTAGTAGATAAATAGGATAAGAATCACTAAAATTAAGCTAATAGCCTATTTATGTAATACTTATTTTACAATCATGAGCTCCCTGCCGAGGTTTTCCCAAGAGACTACAACATAGGGTTCTTCAAAAGTGGAAGGTAAAGAGATTTCTTCAGGGTCGGCAACGCGCGCGTAATACCCCTGGTATTGCAGGCGTTCATAGGCTACGGTAACCACTTACCATCAAGTGGGCCGTATGCTTGTTTGCCACCTCAGTGGTATAAGAAAAAAACCTGCCACGTTTAATTCTATACGAGGTAATATTTATATTATAGGCACGTTATTATATTTGCTATAATTTAGTAGTAATATTCGACAAATACCTTTGTCTACATCAATATAGATATTTTTTTATTATAAAAATTATTCCAATATAGCAGTTATGAAATATAATAATAAATAAATTGAGAATAAATTATTATTCACTGTAATGGTATTCGATAAATGCTTTTGTCAACCAACAAAGACTTTTTTTTTTTAATTTATTCTACTATAATAGTTATGAAACGTAATAATAAACAAATTGTGAATAAAATCATCTCTCTATCCTTATATTATATATATAAGATATTGAACAAAACAGGGATCGTTTCACGAAATAAGAGAGACCTCATTCAGGACCTTTTCCATTGTGTTCTAATTAATAGATTCTTTCCAGTACAGTTTTGTGGGTCGCATAATAATGTAGTCCTTTGTTTGCCCATGTTTTTTTTTTTTACTTCTGACGGTAATTATCAATTGTTTGGTGATGCTGTAGATCCTGTAATAGATGGTTGCTGGATGACGTTTGAAAAAATCATTAATTAAGACTGAGGCATTATTTCGTCTTAGTGAACAATTAAAGTGAAAATAAATCATTCTACCTTACCAATTTCGCTTGTATATTATTGATTAGAAGACTGTCATCATTGTGTTTTAATTTATTTATATATATTATATATATATATATATATATATATATATATATATATATATACATACACACATACATACATATATATATATATATATATATATAATGTTTATTGTAAATACATAATTGGGACTTAATGCGATGAATATATATGAACTATTTACCTGTAAATACCGTATTTGCCCACCTAATGGAAAGTAATGACCGTCGCTTATACTATAAACATAACAGAGTACACTGTGTTGCCCATGATACCATTCCTGCGTTGCCATTTCTGAGAATTAAGTTATGCTATGCCTTTGTATCCTATAATTTCATGTCTTATGGCACCTATACTTAATCAATCACCATTTGGTATACACACACATATATAGGAGAGAGAAGAATTTATAACCTTTGTATCCTGTTTTTATTCCGTACAGCTAACATGTCCCTGTCACGCGGACAAAGTCGCGAGTTTGAGCCAGTCCTTTTATAAATCATCATGTATATTTAATGTAGAATCAAATACTATTTATTGATGTTTGTTAATTTATTTACAGTTCTCTGAAAATAACGAAACACTGAGCGTACTGAGCCTCGTTCCGAGCGTGGAGGACGACGGGAAATATCTGACGTGCAGAGCTGAGAATAAACACATTCCGGACTCGGCTATCGAGGATAAATGGAGGCTTAATGTGCACTGTGAGTGATATAAAATTTATACACGTCGCGTGCTCTAAGTTCGATACATTGAATAATTAAAAATTGTATCCAACAAAAAAAGTCACTTTATTTGAGACGAAATTAGTTATTTTAAATTAAGAATTAAACTACTGTATCGATTCTGATATTTTTTTTAAAGACCAATCTGTGAGTATATCTGAACGAGGATATCCATTCTTGTTTCGGATTCTGTCACGCAAAGAGACTGAGGGAGGGAGACTGTGTACAAAATCTATTGCTTGTACCTCTGTCCCATTCGTGTTTCTACCATGAAGCAGTTGTGTTTGTATGGCTGTGTTTCGGTTTGAAGGGTGGGATATGACGTGAATTTACTGGGTACAGAGGAATAACACCTGAGTCCTCAGGAATGGCAACGCATGAGGGTATCATGGGCGAAACAGTATACTCTGTTATGTCCATGGTACTGCTCATGTGTATAGGCGACGGTTACCACTTTCCATCAGGTGGGCCGTCAGCTTGTTTGCTATTCTAAGTTGTATAAAAAAAAAGACTACGAGCATAGCCCCCTCCATAGTCCGCTGAGTAACTTGTAGCTTTTGCGTACGGGCCATCGTGTAGGACCATGTTTCGGTTCCATAAGTCGTCACTGGCAACGCTAAAGACTTCGTCTTCAATTGTGTTAATTTCAATTAGTTATTTGCAACAACTTTGCAGTCTCTTATTTACATGTTTCTTTTACTATTTTTGTCATTTAGAATTTTCAGAAACTTAAATATGTTTTTGTACTTATGAAATTAATCATTCACTATAACTGTACACTGACGTCTGCAAGGTGATTTAAAATCGACTTAAATTGAAGCATTTCCTAGACTCTTCAAAAGAGACCTAGTAAATGTTTTTAATAAATTCTTAATATAAAAACTCTAAGGAATATTAATGATTGAGATGTTTCTAATATTCCGTGAAGTATTTAAGAAAAATGCAATTTTCTTAAACTAAGTGAATTATGAATAATAAATATGCAACTTAGTTTTAAAACAAGGAAATTTGATGAGCATAAATGGAATTAATAACAGACTCAGTATGTCCATGGTACTGCTCATGTCTATAGGCGACGGTTACCACTTTCCATCAGGTGGGCCGTCAGCTTGTTTGCCATTCTAAGTTGTATAAAAAAAATCACGAAAACCTACCTGTGGTTGCCAACCCTCTTGCCGTACTATGTACATAACAGAGTATACTGTGTCACCCATGATACTTGTTACCGTTCTACCGATAATATCTGGTATATGAATTAATTAGAAGACTTACCATAATAGAAATACTGTTAAAGCATTTTTCTTTAACCGATTCATTTACTTTAACACCGTCAATGGCCAAAGGTCACGCGATAATTGCGTCTTTTAAAAACCTAATTTTGTTGTAATAGTCGAAAAGAATTATATAATTGCTAGAAAATTAGATTTAAAATAGTTTAATTAATACTATTAATCTTCTATAGTATGTAACTATAGTAAAAGAAACAATGAACTCCCTAATAAGAGATTTAAACTGCTGTTTGTCTTTATATACAATTATATTGTATCAAATTGTTTTACTTTGATAAACAATTTTGAATTGGTAATCTATGAAATGGCTTATGTATGAAAGTATTAATTAAAAAAATAATAGATTTATAACAGATTTTTACCAGAGGGAGACTTTGTACAAAAGTCGATTGCTTAGGTACCTCTGTCCCATTCGTGTTTCAACCGTGAAGCAGTTATGTTTGCATGGCTGTGTTTCGGTTTAAAGGATGGGATATGGCGTGAATTTACTGGGTACAGAGGAATAACACCTGAGTCTTCAGGAATGGCAACGCATGGGGGGTATCGTGGGCGAAACAGTATACTCTGTTATGTCCATGGTACTGCTCATGTCTATAGGCGACGGTTACCACTTTCCATCAGGTGGGCCGTCAGCTTGTTTGCCATTCTAAGTTGTATAAAAAAAAAACTGTCCATCGCTGGACATAAGTCTTCCCCTTAAATTGCCACGCTTGGCAGGCGGTTGGCAACCGTAGTTAGGCTTTGGAGATGTTTTAAGAAGGATGCTGCTATCCAATTTGGCCCTCCCTTCGTCGCTTCTTACGATACCCACCGAAAAGGGAAGGGTGGCCCATTCTATGCCAGCATATACACGGCTAAATACATTATAATAATATATTTTTTTTTTCCACAGATGTACCAGTAGTAGATCTAAAAATGGGCTCAAATCTGAATCCGGACGAAATAAAGGAAGGCGACGATGTTTATTTTGAATGTACAGTGAAGGCAAACCCCAAGACTCATCGATTAGTGTGGTTCCATGACGTAAGTTCTATAAATAGTTATTTTCTTTATTGTCCATGTTAGACACAAATAATGTGGGGTGAAATCGAAATTGCGCGCTTCCCGTAGCGTGTTCTAACACTGAAAAAAGAAAATCGGTCAGGTGCGAGTTGAACTCAAACGCTAAAGGTTCCGTACTTATACTTATATCACATAAAATGACCTTTTTTGCATTTCTCATATGAAATAGATACCTAATATTGATTCTGGTTATATTTGTGGTTAATATGTGGACCGCATAACTTCCTGTGTTTTTGGAGAGTTTTTTTGATAATTTCTCAAAAACAGTACCAGTTAGAAGCACCGTTTTATTTCTACTGTAATATTCACATAAGTTTTTATAAACTATAATTATTTTGTTTTTCCAATTTTAAAGATTTCGGATATAATAGGTAATGGTTTCCTTCTCACATTTTCGAACATAACTAAAAAATTTGTGTATCATAACAAAAAAATGTTTTAATATGTACAAATGAAGTGTTTTCATATTGATGACTTAGAATAGTAGCTTAATTTTGAAATTTTGAGTATAGTTTTGAACTGCTTAGCAAAGAAAATAAAAATATTTTATATATTATTTTTATTGCAATGTATCTATAGCATCGGCCAACTATCAACTTAGTCCAATTTGTTCGATATTTAATAACTAACTTTTACCTAGGACCTCGTTCGCGCGATTTCTATGTATGTTATTTTTACTATTGAAAGGGTCCTGCAAGTCCTTACCTCTTGGAAAGTGATGTTAAGCTTTCTAAAACTACAAACAAACAAATTCACTTCCACATTTATAATATTAGTAAGGAAGTGTGAGAAATATTTTTTTTTTTTATAAATGAAATGTAGATCTGAACCGACACATATCTCAGATGTTAGTTGGAAAACAATTATCCTTCTTTTTTTGCGTATATCCTTTTCAAGAATTCCTGATTCAAGACTGAACCTGGCATGTACTTTGTGGGGAAATATGGTTTGACTGATAAGGTGAAAGTAAGCAAGCGAATTACTGATCAAAATATTATTTGTTGCTTCGACGACGTTCGGGAATAATTTTTTTTGAACAAAGGGCCATACGATAATGCGGCTCACTTGATGGTTAGTAATTATGGCCACCATAAGCACCTGCAATATCAGGGAAATAGCAGATGTGTTGCTGGCCTTTAAGAAGAAATATAGTAATAATAAATTCTTTATTCTCTAGTTACTAGGACCCACACGATTTTTTTACAGATAATTACAACTACCTACTTATTTTGCATATTAGCCTTCAAATACTGGCAGTCTGGACAGTCCGCAAATACCTTTAGAATAGTGCTAGAGCTGGCCCGGACGCTACGCATCAGAGATATGCGCTTTCGCATAGTATTCGCATAGTTTTCGCGTAAAATCAAATCTATAGCTATAGCAAATTGCTGAAATATAACTCTGTGACAGACGAATGGACGAAACAAGTCCCATCGTAAAGATTTTTTTGTACCTTTTTTTAGTAAAGAATCCTGAAAACATTTTTATTAAAGGAACTTTGATCAAAACGGGCATAAAATTTCGAGCCTTCCACACTGTGTGTGACTGTAATGTTATGGAAGAAACAAAAACTTGGTCATTTTTAAATTTTTTTTTATACAACTAAGAATGGCAAACAAGTTGACGGCCCACCTGATGTAAAGCGGTAACCGTCGCCTATAGATATGAGCAGTACCGTGGACATAACAGAGTATACTGTTTCGCCCATGATACCCCCCATGCGAAGCCATTCCTGAGGACTCAGGTGTTATTCCTCTGTACCCAGTAAATTTACGCCATATCCCACACTTCTAACAACAACCACAGCAAACACAGCTGCTTCACGGTTGAAACACGAATGGGACAGAGGTACCCAAGCAATCGACTTGTGTACAAAGTCTCCCTCTGGTAAATTATTATTTATTTGCAATTCTAAATAGTTATGATTCCTAGAACCAAAGTGGCTACACAACGTGCGATTTCAGAGGGGCCTTCTGTCACGAACACTCTGGTTCTGGAATAATCTTCCTACAAAAGTTTTCCCTAAAGACTACAGTATAGGATTTTTCAAAACGGACGTAGTACCATTCCTTAAAGATCAGCAACGATTCAGCAAATTCCTCATGTTACAAGCAACCATAAGCTACGGTAACCCCGTTTACTATGAGGCAAGCCGTATGCTTGTTAATCACCATAGTAGTATACAAAAAAAAACCAAACTACTCTACTCATGTACTTATGTACTCATGATTGACGATTCCAATTACACCCCGCATAGTAAACGTATGGTAAATCCATGAATATTAAAGAAGTATCCGTCTAAAGTTTTCTATACAACAATTTGTAACAACTCCCATAGCCTTTTGTAACAGTAAACTACAAAACATTTGTACACGGAGAAATGTTGGCTCAACTATTTATGAATACGTAATGAACGTTTTAATTGATATGATTCGATTAAAACGAAATTATGGCCAGCAATTAAAGGAGTTTAGTAAAAATTTGTCATCATGAGCGAAACAGTATACTCTGTTATGTCCACGGTACTGCTCATGTCTATAGGCGACGGTTACCACTTTCCATCAGGTGTGCCGTCAGCTTGTTTGCCATTCTATGTTGTATAAAAAAAAATTGTCGATACGACTTATTGAAAAAGAAACTTCTTTATAATGGCATAAGAATCCCAATTGGCAACCATGGTAGTGTAGCTGGTTAACATACCTTAACTCCAATGGTCGCAGGTTCGACTCCCTCACTGCATCATTAGAGTTTGTATTAGTCTGTATGTGGAGTACAGGCCACATATATTATTTACAGCTTTATGTTATTATTTATCAAATTCTAAATTGACACGCATACCTATTGTTTCCTTTTGGCTTCCCTTCACGGCCCTAGTCTCTTAAGTTCCTATGACCAATATACATATATTGGGGGGAAAGGGATTGTTAGTAATGAAGACTGAGAATCCCATTGCTAGCAATATACCCAACCAGGTCGACCTCCTCGCGGTTCTCCCTGGAAACTATCATGGTTAATTCCTGATGAATTCATCATGATGGACTAACTGACCTGTTTTCGTTCTCATCTATCGCTCTTCACTGGTGCTCCGCCAGCGTATCCCAATAGCGCAGGCGGGGTTACCATACCATTTTCATCCATAAAAAAATATAGATATATTTTTAATTCCCATTCCTGGTTTCCTTTGTCGCCTACACTTACTAAAGTCTCTACCAATATTATAAATGTGAAAGTGTGTTTGTTTGTTACATTAAAACACCTTAACTTAATCTTGGCTTAACCAATCACTATGAAATTTAATATACACGTACGTTTGTCCCGGTCAGTAAATATATTATATATGTATATGTATATGTAGTATATATTATTTGGTATAATAAGTAGTCTAATAAACAATATGTGTTTGATATTTTTGTGTATTATACGTAAAAATTATTAATTCACTCTTGCGCCACCTGCCCACTTCTATATGTTCTCCATTAACCAAAGGTTATCTGTAAGAGATTGCTCTAGCGATAAGACCGCCTTTTGTACCTTTATATGTATATTTTGATCTGTACTCCATGCTACTGTATTTCACTTGAATTGTTTATAATGTCATTGTTTATTTTTATGTTTTTGGTGCAATAAAGAGTTAAATAAATAAATAAATATTCCGGTTACGCGGACAAAGTTGTAAGTAAAAATTAGTTTTCTCTGTGTTACGCTACTAGGTAGCGTGTAATAATTCTGACTTTTACTTTTTATTAATAAATTTGTTTTGTCCAAACAGAATTCAGAAATCTTCCACAACGAGGGTGCTGGTGTTATTCTCAGTGCTCAGAGCTTAGTACTACAAAGTGTGACGAGGGCAGCAGCTGGCGATTATACCTGCATGGCAGCTAACAGTGAAGGAAAAGGCACGAGTAACCCTGTCACATTGCTTGTTAGATGTAAGTACCAAATATATACAACTCTATCCACAACACCCACTCCTACAGTAAACTCTTTACAGTACAAGCCGCTAGACTCTGGAATTCTGTCCCAAATAGTACCAGAATGGGGCAGACCGTCCCTGCCTTCAAAGCACAATCGAAAAATTTTACGATTGGCAGTCAAGTGTCTTATATGTATAATAGTTATTCTATGTTTAATAATAATAATAAATTTAATTTATCGCCATTCTTTACAAATATGGTACAGAAACTATAATGTACACAATAAATGAATACACTGTGCAGTAAAAAAAAAATGTTGGGACACTTGATACGACACGACGAACTTATGAACATTATAATAGAAGGTAAGATAGAAGGAAGGAGGGGGAGGGGGAGACCGAGACATAGTTACATCAGGCAGATCAAGGAAGGAGTTGGTGTCGTGTCGTATCAAGAGGTGAAGAGACTCGCTGAAAATCGTAGTGAGTGGCAAGAGCTCCACCGACAAGGGCGCAGCTCTTAAATAGATAGATATATTTACACAAGAGAAGAAGAAAATACAAATAAATTTGTATAAAAATAGTGACAAAGAAAAAAAAATACAAAAAAACCAGTGTACCAGCAATTTAATGACAAGGAAAAATCATTACAAAGTGATATAAAGTTTATATATATTTGGTTATATTTATATATATAATTTTATTTATCTATACTCTATTACTAACTATATAGCTACTAATAATTTATTATTTACCGTATTATTTTTCACCATTAATGTGTAAATTCAATAAATAAATAAATGAATAGATATATAATTTATTCGCATTACTTACAGTACACAAATAACAACAGAGACAGATAGACATACACAGTAACAAAAGATAAAAGAATACATATACAAAAAAATAAGCAAAATTAATAAAAGAAGTAACAATTGTCCTCCTTCATGCGTGTGCTTCGGTAACATAAAATGGTCACAACTCATTTAATTATAAACATCATACCTAATTTATTTAAAGAGTGGAACTTGAATCCTTAAAAAATATTGGATGAATTTTTTTAACATTTCCTCTATGTAAAAACTCGGTCTAAACCTGCGCCACACTTAGCCGCCCGAGATATTAATTTTCTCATTAAGTCCATGTTTCTCGTAATTATCTCCCGGCCAACTTCGCCCCTAAAGCCCAGATTTTACGTGAAACTTGTAAGGATATCAATCTTCTTTAAAGTTTGATAGTTTCTTCTATTATTCACGGAGTTTGACCCTCTTTGTCATTAAATCTTTGTGAGTTCTGCCCCGTTGCAGTTTTATAACGACCTCCAGTTAGCTACGTTGTTAGACAAAGATTGGGGCGAGCGTCATTACGATGCCGTTACTTTTAAGAGGAGCATCGTCGTTCGTGAACTTTTAAAACGAGATGGAGCATTGGAAATGTGTAAATCCCATTGCGATTTTAATACTTTTCGTAAATTTCAACTTGGTTTCTATTAAACTGGAAAGAATCAGGGTCTTCCTAATGAACTTGATGTTTCTGACAAAGTGATTGTGACAGATGATAGAATTAGGTATTTTTTTAATCCTCTGGGAATTAACAATAAAGAAATGTTAGAGTCGAAGTCGAAGATATTTGAGTCGTTTCAAGATTTGTTGGAATTGTGATACAAATACTCAACTTACTCTGTATAAGGATTTGTACTAGAATAGCTGAAAGACATGAATTTGATTCTTATTCAATCATGTTACCAAAAAATTTCCAATTAATGTTTAGGCTATTACAACATAAGACATTATTAAACTAATAAGCAGAAATTGAGAGACATTTAAAACAGTCCATCAATTACGAGTAATTATGAAAACTTACTTACGTATTATTTTAATTGCATACATTTTTAGACACTATACTATACCATGATGTAACTTAAATTAAAAACGAGAGAGACTAGCTGTTTAAAATACAACTTTCTGAAAATTCAATTTTTATTATGTGTTTTTTATTTTGATTATGCAGCTGAAAATAGTAAACAAGCTAAAGACCTACCTTATGCAAACTAATACTGTACAATAGATATAACACAATATACTATGTCGCCGATGATACTTTTTATGTGATGCCATTCCTGAAGACTAAGGTGTTTTTTAATGGATTAAAATGGAATGGTAACTCCATCTGCGCTTTCGGTATTCGCTGGCGGGGATACCAGTGAGGGATGATAAATGAGGATGAAACAGTCAGTTGGCCTATCGTCATCAATTTATCAAACATTAACCACGATGGTTTCCAAAGGGACCCGCCCCGGACTAAGCTGTTATGCCTCTATATCCTTTTTTTTATACGACTTAGAATGACAAATAAGTTAAAGGCCCACCTGATGGAAAGTGGTAACCGTCGCCTATAGACATGAACAGTACCATGGACACAACAAAGTATACTGTTTTGCCCATGATACCCCCCATGCGTTGCCATTCCTGAGGACTCAGGTGTTATTCCTCTGTACCCAGTAAATACACGCCATATCCCACCCTTCAAACCGAAATACAGCCATGCAAACACAGCTGCTTCACGGTTGAAACACGAATGGGACAGAGGTACCCACTACCTAAGCAATCGACTTTTGTACAAAGTCTTCCTCTGGTTACTGTTAACTGTTTTGTCCTGTAATCTTATTGCTATATCAATCGAACTACCATTCAAACCGAAACACCCAAACAGCTGCTTCAGGGCAGAAACACAATTGGGACAGAAGTTTAGCTGCTTCTGTCTCATTCACATTTCTGCAGACTACTTTTGTGCAAAGTCTCCCTCTGGTAAGACACTGTTAACTGTTTTGTCCTTAGATGCTCCCATATGTGCGGAAAGAAGAGATGGAGAGTTATTCGGTGCACTCAAGCATGAGACTGTATCACTCCATTGTTCAGTTGATGCCAACCCCGCACTCGTCTCTTTCCATTGGACGTTTAACAATTCTGGAGAACAAACAGAAATTCCACCAAAGTAAGTGATTTGTCTATTATTTATTACTCTATTTTTTTTTTTATTTTAATTTCTATTCAACAATTTTTAATCTTGCAGATCTTAAATATCATTTATGAAAATTCTTTTATGTAAATAAAAAATCCCCATTTATAGTAACTTTTTAAAAGAATTTATTTGGCAATATTTTGCTAGATTACCATAGCACATCCCAACTATCCATTAAATTCTTAATATTGAATATAGATCATAGGAGGAATATTTGTTATTATCACATATAAGTACTAACTTTTACCTACGATATTGTCTATGACCAGAATCTTAACGATTGATATGAATCAATCGTTAAGATTCTGATTATTTGATTAAGTATACGATGTCATCATCGACATCTTATACTTTATTTGTTCTCCGTTACTATAATATGAATAGTTATAGTGTGTCACTTAAAAGTTATGTCACGTAATATTTATTTCATCAGGTTATATACGAGTCATGGGCATACGTCTACCCTCAACTACACACCAACGACAGACATGGAGTATGGAACGTTGGCGTGCTACGGTGCCAACACTGTTGGACAACAGAAAGTCCCATGTCTGTTCCAACTAGTCGCTGCTGGTAAGCATTCTTCATTCTTTTTAATTAATAAAAATAATTTATTGCGGGAAAATAAGATGTATATAGTTTCATATATATAGTATAACACCCTGTATATGGTTGTACATTTCATTGTAGTAAAATTACGTTTAGATGTCTTTTAAATAGCACACTCACATACAGTGGCATAGCTGAGTAACCAAAGGCACTGGGGCAAAATATAAACCAACTTAAGAATACCGGGGAGTTCCCTGCAAGTTTCAAACGAAAATGGGAATTCCCCTATATGGGTTTCAAATAAGTTGCCTTTATTAAAGTCGTGTTCCTAGAATGTGGTTTATTTATATTCCGAATGCAGGAGATATTGCCACTGTACTGTATTGTCAGTAGAGATGTCGACAACAAGCATAGGGGTGAAAGGGATTTTTAGTGGTGGAGACTAAGAATTCCATTGCTAGCAATATAAACCTAACCAGGTCGACCTCCTCGCGGTTCTCCTTGGAAACTATCATGGTTAATTCCTGACGAATTCATCATGATGGGCTAACTGGCCTGTTTTCATTCTCATCTATCACCATTCACTGGTGCTCTGCCAGCGTATCCCGTTAGCACAGACGGAGTTACCATTCCATTTTCACCCATAAAAAAATACAATATATAAACCATATAAACCATAGTATACCTTTCGAGAGACTCATCTAAATCTTGTCTAAGAAAGCTAGCGTGACAGACAATAATCATATCTCGATTTCTGTCCAGGTCGCCCGTTCCATCTGCAGAATTGCACAGTTGCAAATCAAAGTATTGACTCATTGTACGTGGAGTGTGTTGAAAATTTCGATGGCGGTCTACCCCAGACATTTCTAATGGAGTTGCTTGAATTACCTTCTCTGACTGTAAGTAAACCTCAAATAGTGATAAAAAATTATTTGCTGTTTTTAGTCTTTAATTTATTGTTTCTTGCTTCAAAAGACACAAAACTGTTATCCAATAAGCTACATTAGAGGCCTTTGGGAATAATGAAAGCGGACTCCTGACACTAAACGATGACTTATTTGCACAAATAGAAGTATAGTCTATTTTAATTAAATTTAATAAAAATTTAAACTAACCAATGACTGATCTGGCCATAGACAATCTAATGATATCCTCAACTTTTAATTTGTTACTTAATGCATTTAGACAGTGCTTCTACGATAATTTCAGCTAAACTTGATTACTATTAGAATCAGAATTCATTTATTTGCTAGAATAAAGTGCCTTTTTATAGGTATTACGTCAGAAGAAAATTATAGTCCAATCTTATTTTGCCACATTGTAGAAGTGCAAGTATTAAATTTATTTTTTAAACAAAACTAAGAACAAAATATAAAATCTCAGAATTACACATATATGTAGCAATAATATTTTATCACGTTCTTGTATTGAATTATTACATAATATCATTATATTACATCGTCATTAAATGTAGCAAAACTTTATAATTATCTTGTGATACCCTGATTTCCTATTTTATTGATTCTGGCACTTTATTTTTGGACATGTCAGCCATATTTAGACTGTACAATCTCCAAATATACAATTCACTAAAGATATAGTTAAAATAACATTGCGATTGTTCAGTGACATTGCAATCAGCGGAAACAACCCCCTTAGGACTTTAACCATACTTGAAACGATTCTAATTTGTCTTTTTTTCTCTTTAGGTCCGTTACAACGTTTCCACAAACAGGACTCCACCGTACTTCGAGATTCGAGGCCTTCCACCCGGTGTTAGTTACCGTATTGATCTCTATGCAGTCAACGCTAAAGGGCGAAGCGACGTGTCTACTATAGAAACTGTAACGCTTAAAGGACAGGCCAAGTTTACTGGTAACAATATTAATAATTATATGTCATAAATTATTTCTTAATAACTTCCAAATTTTGAGGAATGGGCAGCACTGTCTATTTTAAAATATGACCAAAGCCCAAACTGTGGTTGCTAACACGCACAAACACACAATTGACGATGATAATGATTATTGACAAAATTTCCCTAATGTAAACTGCTATAAAAAATAGCTCCATGCCTTATGGTAGTCTATGGGGGAGGCCTATATTCATGCAGTGAACAGACAACGGCTGATATAATAATAATGAATTTGCAAACTTTACTACAGAGCAAACTTTGTACAAAAGACAGCTAATTCATCTGCGAAAAACATATTGTGCAATGAATGGAATGATAGTAATAATACGGTACAAAGACATAATAACTTTGTTCTTAGGATTAGAAGTGAGAGATACCATGGAGATAACAGTATATTCTTTGACGTTTATAGTACTATTCATGTCTATAAAGGACAGTTTTACCGTTATATGGGACGTCAGTTTGATTGTTCATCCAAGTTGCATAAAAACAAGGGTTTAACCGAGAGGAGACAACCTTCAGATGATTGCTGTTTGAACATATCTTTTTGTATTGGACTGGCTGTTCCCTGTATACAAAACGTCTGTATTTATAAAAAGGTCTGAGGTTATAAAATGCGCAGTGAATTCTCTGAGACAAGAACAAAAAACTTTTGACCCGGAACTCCACGCATTGTAACTTTGTATTGTTTATGGTATTGTTAATACTTTTATAGTCTATGGTTTTCATTGGATAGGCCATTACTTGTTTGCCATTTCTAATAGTACAAGAAAAAAGATTGTTACGGGATATAGTGGTACAACGATGTTGATTGCTCCACGCGGTACTAAATCAGCAGCAAATGACAACTTAGACAAACTAATTAGTGCATTGCACGCATTAATATAAATGTTATTTCATATGACTATAGTAAAGTATTTTGATTTAAGCCTTCTTTGCATAATGGTAGAAATTTCCATCATAACATTGAATTCCCAAAAATTATTTAAAAGAACAAATTTAAACTGATCGTGTCTGGATACCTTTTTAATGTTCATTGCAGAAAAAAAAAACATAGCTGCCAAATTTATTTTTCTAACCATTTTCCCTATAATTTTGAACATGGATTATATCAACTTGATTTATTTCACTAATAAAAAAAATCATGCAAAGATGGGTTAACTATTATATCGTGTGTACAAAACAGTATTTATCCATTATAAAAGCCTAAATTTTAATATTATCATCATGTTGCTTTATTTGAAAAAGAAGAAGAAGAAGATTGATGAATGTGGAAGTAGCGAAAGAGGTTTGTTTGAATCGAAGCATTTGGCGTTCCATTGTTTCTGCCTACCCTAATGGGAGACAGGCGTGACAGATATGTATGTGTGTATGCATCGTCAATTATATTTTCTATTATTCCTGTCTACGGTCGACTGGTAGATAACGCCATATGGTGTTGAGTTCTCCATTTACACTTTCTAGGTGTATTAAAGTTTAATAAATAAATAAATCAACAAGATTAACAACACATGAGGAGTATTATGATATTACAGTGTACTTATTCTGTAATCTCTAAGTTACTATTCATGTCTATAGGCGATAGTTCCCTCTTTTTATCAGATGGTTGGTCTGTTTGTTTATATTTGAATTTACATAAAAAAAAATATACACATCTTTATTTCATGTAGTTTGCTAGTTACTCTATTAAATATCATATATTAAAGTCTTATTTGAATTTTAAATAAATTTTTCACTTCGCTAGATGACTTTTTTATTTGCATTTCTCGTACAAAATATAATTAAGTACAATTCCCTCTGATTGACTCGAGTATTTCCAACCATAATTTTAGTTACCCTCGATTTTATTATTACTTGAATTCACTAATAAAACTGCTTGAAATAGTCACGCCAACTGTACGAACGACTTCATTTTGCGAAACTTGATATTATTTATATTGCATAAAATTGTAAATGGCCAAGCTTGGGTTTATTTCCTTGAATTAATTTCATACTTCTTTAACTACCTCTTTATGTAGCTACTTTATTGTGAACGAAATACAGCGACGATTTATTTACTCTTATCAATATTCTGATTTGTTTTATATCTGTTTTGTCATGCTCAATATTTCAGTAGCATACATATTCCATAATACTTTCTGTTATTCGGATTTTATCAACAATTTTTTTTATGAGATGTAGTGGAAAACGATGTAATAGTATGGTGGTACATAATTAATTGACCACAGAAACCCATGTATGAGTGTAACTTTAAATCCAAATAAGACAATTTAAAAATCAATCTCTTTTAAATTAATAAAAATATCGCAAATTTTGGCTATAACCATATTACAATATCAGTGTTTTATTCTTGTGGGAGCAAAGTCATAAACCGAGATGTGACCATTTTACGTTACTATGGCACACTCACGAAATAAAAGAATATATTACTTCTTCCCTTGGCCGTCAGCTTGTTTGCCATTCTAAATTGTATAAAAAAATCTGCGAAATAAACTCAAACGATTTCAATGATATTGTATAAATATCAGCTTAAAATTAAGAGATTTTATGTTAGACAATAGTAAGCGACCATCGTTGTGTTCACCAATATCATAGGGAGCCCAATGACCCGGCCCACCAGACCGCCACCAATCTGAACATTAAACTGAGTATGAATTGTTTCAAGATACACTATTACGTCAATAATATAAATGTTGCCAATCATAGTTCAAATTTTAGGTGGTAATACAGATAATAACACGTTCTAAGAAACAAAATTTAATTACATATATTTATATGTAATAGAATTGAGAGATATTCATTATAGTTAAATAGATAATAGAAGCCAAGCTCTGTTATGTCCATGAGCAGTCATGTCTATAGGCGACGGTTACCACTTTCCATCAGGTGGGCCGTCAGCTTGTTTGCCATTCTGAGTTGTATAAAATTGTGTACTATAAGTAGTGCAAGTAAATTGTATATCTATCTATCAAATTCGACTGACAATAAAACTAATATAGAAAATCTACATACATGTTTATTGTCATATATTAAACCAACATAAATTACAAGTCGATTGTATACCTACGATATTCCTGTACGATTAAATATACAAATACAATAAATAACCAGCAAAATCTATCGTTATATTGACATCGTTGTAATTTGATTTTTTTATTTGTTTAACATCGTTATCAGGAAACGATGTAGACAATGTAGCTATATTTGCAGGAACTTGAAACAAACAATGCTGGAATCAGACAGGAAATCTAATTCAAATGTACTCAAACTACGTGTTCATATTTCAGCATTGTAGGTAAACACAATTTTGTATCAAAAATTGCATCTATTATTCCACGAAGCGGCTGAAATGAACAAAACTGCAGCTAATTTAGATTGCGTGCGGTAACAGTTATAAGTTATAATAGTTACTGCGAATGCCGGTTCAGTTTGTAAACGTAGGTTTTCCGTTGACATTAGCAGCTTTCAATATTATAATGATCGGTTGCGAGTGAACACTTTATTACACCTACACATTGCATTTACCTATAGGAATGTAATATCTACAAAAAATTTTTTTATATAACTCAGAATGGCAAACAAGCTGACAGCCCACCTGACGAAAAGTGGTAACCGTCGCTTATAGACATGAGCAGTACAATGGACATAATAGAGTATACTGTTTCGCCCATGATACCACTCATGCGTTGCCATTCCTGAGGACTAAAGTATTATACCACTGTATCCTTTAAATTCTCTGCCATACCCCACCCTTCAAACCGAAACACAGCCATGCAAACACAACTGCTTTACGGTTGAAACACGAATGGGACAGAGGTGCTCAAGCAAACGACTTTTGTACAAAATCTCCCTCTGATTAACTTACTAAATACCATTGCATATTCCTAAATAATCTTATTCTTCTGATAAGATTATTTAACATTATCATCATCATCATCATCATCATCATCATCATCATCATATCAGCCTTTAACTGTCCACCGCTGAACATAAGCTTCCCTCTTGGTTGAATTTGCTAGTAATTGCCACGCTTGGCAAGCGGATTAGTAATCGCAGTTAGACTTTGGAGATGTTTTAAGAATGACGCTGCTGCCCATCCCTCGCCCTTCTTTAGTCGCCTCTTACGACACCCACGGAAATGGAAGAGATGGCCCATTCTATACCGGGATCACACAACTATCTAATAAAATAAATTTAAAATTGGTCCAGGAGAGAGTAACACCCTGGGCATGTCACCGGTGCTCGCATCAATAGCGGCAATGTCAGCACTGCTCGCCACCGCTGTGTGTGGTGTACTCGCCGTGTTGTACAAGCGACATACGAACAGACACAGGCATTTGCCAGCAAAACATGCACCTCTGAGGTGAGTATCGATATTTTAGCCTCATTCCATTAGGATAGAACAGAACAGAAAATATGTATTGCCATAAAAACACATAATTACATCAGAAATTACAGAATTATTATAAATAAAAAATGTCTCGTATTAGCCAGAGGGAACTGGCTCAGCTGATGCTGCGAGTATCCCAGTGCAATGTACAGCTGCACAGCGCTGATCTTCAGCCAGTTCCTCTCTTAATATTTCTTCTACATTAATAGAATACATTTGTTATTATTTTACTCGCTTTTCGTACGTATGTATTTTGGAATTGATTAAACATATACTAGATTTTAAATTAAACCTTCAAAAAACGACAAGATTAAGATGTACATATTATTGCAGTGTTTTTTTGTATGATTTTGGAACAAAAGACAGTCATGAATACACAAATAGATAAACATATATAATAGAAATTGTATAATAATTTATATTATATATTTCTATTCTATTGCTTTTAATAGGATTTCTTAGATATTTTTTTTTAAACATATCCAATCCTACAGAAATCGTGTAGTTATAAATTTGTTAAGTATATAAAATTGCAAAGAATTAATCGTATATGCATAATGTGTATAAATTTTATGCTTAAAAACAGAATATATTATGTTTTACAACCTCGGTTCGTTGTACTAGACAATCAAAGTGCAATATACAGCAAAGAAAGAAAAGCTCGAAATAAAATATATCAACATAGTATCTATCTTTAATTTATGGAGAGAGATTCATGCTCAGAAGTGATTTAGAAATTGTTATTACAGTAATAATGTTTTAAAAAAAGGTTTTTGAAAATAACAATCTAAGAAGTTGAATTAGTAGATCATTTATTAAAGGAGATAGTTTTGTAAATGAGTGAGTCTGTAAATGAATGTAAATACTAGGTGTTGAAAGTAAAAAGATGTGACAAATACTATTTAGATTGACGTGTGGAAACAAAGCAGATAAAAGTTGCTGTTAATTTATAAAAAACAAATATTTGCGGGCTGGAACTGCATCTGCTTAATCGAGCTAGATCAATTAACTGCAATAAAAGAAGTCTATATAATTTTTAGTACCAAATACTAAGTATACATACCTTTTCATAACCATTAGTTGAGTCAATAAAAGGCCAAGAAATAATAAGCTCACTATCACATTTAGAATAGAATTCGAATTTGTACCACTGCCTATATTTGTTTATCTAGTGAGGCAGTGTATGTGGAGAGAACGGGCAGCTGTCCAACGCCAGTAAAACAAGAAGTGGAATCCAGATCAAGCAGTACGGAACCTCGGGAGAGAGTTGGCGCTAGAGGCGCATTATTGCATGCGCCTGACCCAAGAGATGCTGATGATGCCGATCCCGATATTATCCCATGTTTGTATGGTGAGTTTATTTATTTACCTACTTGTTCTTGTTTTTAGCTCAATCCCATTTTACGTGTGGTAAACTCTCTTAGCTTTGCAGCTTCAAGATTTTCTATCCCGGATTGTCTAAATAATTTCTTTACCAATATTTTTTTTTGTCATGCTGGTTCTAATAGGGAAAAGGAATCATCTTCTGTCTCTTTTTTTATTCGAACAAGCGCAAATATTTTCTAATCATTAATTCCTCGTCTCTTCGTATTACGTAACTGTACTATCTAAGATGGCTTTCTGTTAGTTTCTCCGATGCTACTTTGAAAGTTCCACAAATAAGTTTATTTCTAATTTTATCTAGTCTCGTTACTCCTCCAGACAATCTAGGTTGAACTATGTATTCATAATTATTTTTAAAAGTGATACGTTATATATTTAGAAAATAATCGCAATTGGAAATGTTATGTTAGTTAACATTATCTTAACGTTTAAAGATTTACGTTTAGAGTTTGTCCGAGATTGCGTTCCTGAATGAGCTGTATTGAAAAGGTGTCTATTCAAAAATGCTTAAAGCTAAGTTTACTTGAATAATAATATTTCTTTCTTTCTTTAATATTCAGCCCGTTTGAAATGTATCTACCATATGGAATAAGTTTTAAATGTTATAATAAGATAGCGAGGATATTTTGGATCTGCATTATAATAAGTTTAAAACTGTTATTACAAACACTTATTGAACAAAGCTTTTCTTAAAAGCAGCGATCTTAATAATCTTAACACTAGATACAAATACAAACTTGCTGTTCTGAAGTATCGTTTAGAAAAAGTTAATAGGTCTTTTTCGGGAATGGACAATAAAATATTATAATAAGATACCGAAGAATATTATGGATGTGAACTGTTATTGAACAAAACCTATTACACTCTAAACGATTACTTGAATGACAAATGTGTATGGTGTTAGTCGATCATAAACAGGCTTTTAACGATCATATAATTTTAAACATAATACATTGAAATAAATACACATAATGTTAACAGAGATTTAAAAGAGTAACTGTTGAGTTTCTTGCGGACTCTTCTGAACAGATAACAGCTTTCCAAATGCTGCATTCGTAAAAAAAAAGACGTTTTATAAGTGCATGTAAGCAAGTTTATTTGAATAAAGAGGATTTGAAATTGAATTTACTTTTTTCCCCTATCATTAAAATATTATTATTTACCAAAAGTTTTTGTAAACACACATGTAAATAGATGTTTCTTCTAACATCGCTACATAATGTAGTCGGTCACGTAGGCATTGGAAAAATTGTTGACTATTTTTTGTCCTATCATTCCCTTTTTTTTTATTTCCTAAAAAAACGAACATTGTTTTCGAATGAACATAATAAGCGCGATATTTTCCCTGTGTGCATTCAGATATGCGGCGTTTGTAATAGAAGACATCATTAGCAGACTTTTCCCTCCAACAAAATACTAAGAATACGAATCTACACATAATAAGATGCTCTATCTTTATAATGTGGATGGTGATACCGTACAAGAAAGTGGGCAGAATATGCCACAAGAGTATTTCTCGTTTCACGAGATTGATCCTTATGTCGGAGCGTTAATAACTATTACGGCTTGCAGTTGGGTAATTTTAATTTCTGTGTCACAGGTTCTTGGCTCGGATACATAGTAATGAGGGTTTTTCTTAATAGTGTGTGTGTGTGTGTGCTTTTTAATATAATGTCAGGTATTATATTGAAAAAATTGTGTAAAATTTATAAATTAAATTTAAATTTAAATTTTTATTTTATAATACAGTCGCGATTGCTTTTAATTCTTCTAGATAAATTTAACGAGATTAACATACGGACACCAATATTTATGATATATTATGTACAAAGTATTTTATATGCTAAAAATCATACTGTTCTTTAGCATTTGAGTAAAATCAATATTAGTTTAAACGATTTTTATTCTTACTAAATATAAATAAAGTCTATCGAAACATTATATCGACTTAATTTAAAAAAAACAATAGATAGTTTCCGAAATTTTTACCTGATGATTATTTAAAAGATGCTTTGCCACCTAACTGAACTGTTAACTATGCAATTAGATTCTTAATAAGCTATCACTGAAAATTTTTAATTTTGGTGGGAAAAAAAAGTTTTTTAAAACTTCAGAAACAAAATATGAAATGTTAGGGGTTGCAAAAAGTTTTAGTTTCAAGTTTATGTGCAATATTTCAATTTAAATTAGCAATATTTCTGAATGTGCATGATCTTGGCTCACCTGATGATTATTGATGATTAGATCTAAGATGGAGTGCATTTACCCAAAAAATAATTAATACACCATTATTTGATATTTATTTTTGAATTGTTTTTATTTGTTATTATTATATGACATTATATGTATAATTTGCAATATTTTTTTTTTGTAAAGCTATCCGTCAATAAAAAAAATTGCACGCTAATATCGGCAAAATATGTTCGAACTATAACGTCTTTAAAATATCCAGTATGTACCTACTGCACACACATTTTTTTTTAATGGATGATAATGGAATGGTAACCCGGCCTGCGTAAACGGTATACGCTGGCGGGGCGCCAGTGAGGGATAATAGGTGAGGATGAAGTAGGTCAGTTAGCCCATCGTGAAGAATTCCATGAGATGTCACCACGATGTTTTCTAGGGGGAACCACGTGGAGGTCGACCTAGTAAGGGATGATAGATGAGGATGAAAGCAGGTCAGTTAGCCCATCGTGAAAAATCCCATGAGATGTCACCAAGATGTTTTATAGGGGGAACCACATGGAGGTCGATCTGTTTAGTAACATTGCTAGCATTGGGGCTTTTATTCCACAACGCTAACAATCCCATTCCCCCTGCACACACATGATTATCCACATAAATTTACCTTTACCTTTATTCGTTTTGAAAAGTTTAAAGCTTTGTTTTTTCCGGAACACACAGAAATAGGGAGGTTTAAATAAATACAATTTCTTCAACAGAACGGAGGCCTGTATCGAACGGGTACATGAGTCTCCAACGTCCACCGTCCACTGGTAAAATAACGAAGCTGAGCGGAGACGATGTACGCTCAGAGCCGGACGGGGGCGCGTATTATACGGACTTTAGGAAGAAGGATTATAGAATACCGTTAACTAGTGTAAGTATATTAAATACTAACCACTCGCCCTGGCTTCGCACGGGTACATATCATAGACTAGTCGTTCCCCACGGCGTCGTCCGCTTCTATGTAGTTCACGTATATTAACCTTGCAAATCACATATAAAATGCTATAAAATAACCGATCAGCTGAATTAGCTAAAACTTTGTGAAGTTATTAGGTACGTAATTATCATTTATGTATATAAAACACAATATAAGACTATATTGTGTTTTATATACATAGAAGTATACCAGAGGGAGGCTTTGTACAAAAGTCGTTTGCTTGGGTACCTCTGTCGCATTCGTGTTTCAACCGTAAAGCAGCTCTGTTTGCATATATATATATATATATATATATATATATATATATATATATATATATATATATATATGGGTGGGATATGGCGTGAATTTACAGTGTACAGAGGAATAATACCCGAGTCCTCAGGAATGGCAACGCATGGAGGGGTATCATGGCCGAAACAGTATACTCTATTAAGTTCATGATACTGCTCATGTCTATAGGCGACGGTTACCACTATCCATCAGGTAGGCTGTCAGCTTGATTGCCATTCTAAGTTGTGTAAAAAAAAATATAACAAATGCTTACTTTGTTACAGTCATATCATAGTTTAGGACGCGCCAACAAAGGTGTGAACGCGTGTAGCCCTAGCTCCGCCACTGGAGTCACGTCATCCCTCACCGCCCACCGACTACGACCCGAGGTCGTGACGACCTCGCACCGTGTCCAGGAGAGTTGTATATAAAACAATTTTGTACAAATATTATTAAGTATTGACTGTGTTCCTTTAATAGTGTAAACCTTTTGTAAAGTCTTTTAAATTGTAAATTGCAAATAGTTTGGGGGAGAACAGAGAGGTACTGAGATTCTCGTGTCAGAATATATTAAACCTTATGGTCCTATAACTAGAGTATATTTCACATTTTTGGTAATAAAATGCCGCTTTTCAATAATCAGTTAGTATATAAAAAATATATATATATGTGAGAAATCCCACTTATAAGTACCAAAAGAATAAATTTATATAATTTATATATTATTATGTTTATTATTATGTATATATTATGTATAATATTATGTATATTATATATATAATAATTTATAAATTTATTTATTTACTTCAAGTAATCTGTTACATAAATAATAAATCACTCTTATTTTTTAATTATGTTATATTTTATTCCAATTTAATTTTTAATTTTGTCTGAAAATAACATTTCATTGCAAGTTTTTAATTAAATCAATCTTAATTACTCGAATTATTTTATAATTTATTAGTCAGACAATCTTAATTAACATTTCAATACTCACATATCGTAAATAAATCACATAATAATGTATTGATATTTTTAACACATTAATTTCATTAATAACACATAAAATTACTGTTATATACCGAGAAAAATTAATCATATAATAAATATTTTTACGATTCTAATAAACTTATAGAAAAGTTAACTTCGAGTTCCTTGTCAGTTAAATTTACAACGAAAGTTAATCGGCGGATATTAAAATGTTGATTAATAATCCGCCTTTGGAAACCAAAGTTATTCTTTATGCAACTTGAAAATAAATTATAATTTTAATTATTAATTATTTTTTTAACAATATATAAATGTAATTTAAAAAAATCAGTTTCCCATGTATAGATTTGCAGCACAAACAAGACGCAGAGAATAAAAAAAAATGTACTTAACAGAAATACATTTGAAAACATTAGAAGTGTTATTTTTGACAGTTTCTTTTTTAATGCCAATCGTTGAATCGTCTAAATTGTTTTTGAAAAGATAATAATAATAACAACAATAATACATAATTATAATTTATTTCGTTAAAATTTACAAACAGAACAAAAAAGTTCTTTTACCTTCTTTTCTTTATTTATTACAGTTAGCAGTAACTAAAAAAATACGAAAAGTGCCATCTATTATTAATTAATGGAACTATAAAAATTGCTGTTCGGAATTTCTTCTTGTTCTCCCCCGAACAAATCCCTAAGAGTATTATTATATGTGATATCAATGCTTGGCGATAGTGTGACGACGTCCAATACTTAAAAAAAAAAAAAAACTTAAACCCTTTATAACATAACCATAATCATTATCTTCTTATTTTCAAATATTTTAAAGTATTTTATTAATAATCTTAACGACTGATTAACATTAATAACGATTTTGTAAGTTAATTATATTTAGTTATTATAAATTAATTGACACATGAAACTGTATACTCAGATGCAACGATAAATTTTGTTAATTATACAGTATAGTTCCAAATTGTAAATTTTGTGTGCGCGAATAAATTTCAATTTTATTTTGTTATATTAAAGCCTAGATTACAACATACAATATACACAGATTATTATAATGTAACACCATTTTCTTTCCACAATTTCTAGGAGACACCTACATATATCTGAGTGCAGAAGTCACCAGCGTATACAGATTTGTTAAACGGATTTCAACAGTCAGTGAGGATGTAATAAACCATTTTGAACAATGACGATTTTGCTCCACAAAATAAACAGCAATTTCATTCGTGGCAAAATTAATATGAGATTAATACTTAATTATCATTTGCTCTCTCTGATTCTGTTTTGTTTTATGGACTTCAAAAAGTAAGTTTTAATTTGCTTGTTGTTTCTGTGTGTGTGCGTGCGTGGGTGCGTGCGTGCGTGCATGGACGCACGTGTATTTGTGGGTGTATGTAAGTGGGAGTGTGTGTTTACGCATTGTCTTCAATAATTCTGAATATATTTAAACTGTTATTATTTCTTGTTGATACGTCATTTTACAAATTTTATATAATATCACCATATAATAATTTGAAGAAATACAATTTTTTTAAATAATAACACCAACAACTAATTATAAATAGTCTCCCAACGTACCACATCGAGGCAATGTACCCAAGATACTGGCAGCATTACCTCTTTAGATTCCTAAACTTATCTTTTGCGCAAAGTAGCTACCAGCTCTTGGGTCACCAGTAACCTCGATGAGGCGCGCTGTGATCGTCCGATAAAAATGTCTTACATCTGGGCCTCACGAGTCCATGGTCTCTACAGCAAATTGCAGGAAATAATATAAATAGTTATTGAAATTAATAAAGTTCGCTACAATGTTTTACAGAGGAAATAACACCTGAGTCCTCAGGAATGGCAACTCATGGAGGATATCATGGGCGAAACAGTATACTCTGTTGTGTCCATGGCACTGCTCATGTCTATAGGCGACGGTTACCACTTTCCATCAGGTGGGCCGTCAGCTTGTTTGCTATTCTAAGTTGTATAAAAAAAAATATTAATTTTGTCACGATTGAAGTCACTAACTTTGGACATGTAAAATCTTATTCTTATATCTTATACTTATTCAGTCACAAAATATAAGAATGTTCATGCATAAAAAATATAAAATTACAAAGAATCATATTAATTTGGTAACTTAACAGTAGACAAATTAGTTATGCATTCGTGCCTGTCTACAAATATTTTAACTTACATAACATCGTCAAGTTAACCAGGTAACGTAACATAACAAATATTTACTTTTCTGTTAAACGATTTAATATTATTAACGTGAATGTGTACATTTAAGTAAACTTACAGTGTAACCATTTCTGACAATAGCTAAGTCATTGAAACGTGTTATATCTGACACTTTAAGTTGAGTTTAAACTTCTCGAGTGAACGTTTGAAGGTAATGTTCAAAATCCATTCTATCATGAGTGATAGTACAAAATCTTGGAAAGTCACACGCATTCCTGCCTATATACAATATATTAATGGCCACAAAACAAGCGATCTTTAGTTATTTCATCATTGCGTTGTTTTTTCTCGTTTATTTGGTATTGGCTCAAAATTTCTTCTCCTCCAACAAATCCTTGTCAACTGTCGTTTCCATGCTCACTTCTCTTTTATGCATATCATCTTTCACATTAACACTTTCTTCAAAACATGGCTTTTATTTCTATAAATGACATGATGGCGATCTATAGTTTTTTAAGATTAGTAGTAATTATATATTAAAATTTATACGTAACTATGCGAGTAACGTTAAAATTGTCCTAGTCATTTTCAGTGTACCAATAAATCCAAAACAAGGATAAATTAAAACTCAAATAGCAATTTTCATATTTCTTTATTGCTGTATCAAATATAATTCATCAAATTCTGGCGTTATTATTGTGGGATATCTTACTTGTATTCCCACAACGATGTTTACGCGTTTTAAAAATACAAACCGACTTTTTAGGCTAACTGTGTCAGCGAAATTCAATTACTACTATGAGACAGGGGTCGCAAGTTTCAGTTCTTGTATATATTTCTTACTTCCCTTACTAATTACGCGGGTCAAAAGCCAGTTCAAAATAAAACTAACTCGCTTCCGCTTCGCCGCCCTCCCATCTCGTGGCCCTCGCCACACGCAACGTATCGTTAACTTGAACGGTTAAATTTATCTATAGTTACCGATTCCTCCATTCGAATCACTGAATTGTTACATATGTATAATTCAGCCCGAATTATGTTACCGAGTCGGCTGTTCGACAAACAAATTGGATATTACCACATTTTATTACTTAGTTATTGTTCGACAGTATCCATTATTCTTAATTAAAGTACGGTACGGTTGAAATACATCAAATTGGCTTTTTGGCTTTTTTTTACGTGAGTAATGATTTATAATCTGTATTATGGATTGTAAAGCTAACGACTGACCTAAAAATTTATCGAAGTAACATTCGCTATGAGTGTGAGCGTGTAGATTACGGCTAGGGTTGTCAAAACTATAATAATATAATGGCATTAAATTAATTATTTTTTTGTTGAATTTATGACAATTATTTGTTGTTCCATTAAGAAGAACAGAGTTGGCTAAGCAAGCTCCCCTATCTCTTGCATTGAAACTACTCAATGATATTTTGAACCGGTATCCGCAATTGGATGTATTTACCTCCAACTTGCTGGAGTTTCGTGGAATGACCACAAGGTGTATGTGTGCAGAAATTCAGAATTTAAATTTATTTATGTGTATTATACCTTTTTTATATATGTTATTGTACTGATCTTTTCCTGGGTGAGCGTATTGGAAGACTGTAAAGCTCACCCAGTAGATGTAATGTAATAAATAAATAAATAAATCCACAATCTATACATATTTTAATGTATTCAAAAGAATAAATAAATAAATAATATATATAGCTCTTTTTCCATTTAGTATCTCATTTGTTAAAAAAGGTCATACAATACAACCACGGACGAAGTTGTGGCATACAGCTACTATATTATATTATACGACGTAAAATCGAAATCGTTACGTTTTAAGGGAATGCTCTACTACTGAAACTGCGTATTTTTCTCAAAGAAACATTAGTTATTAAATGCTACTAAAAAGGATATTAATAATTTTTAATCAGCCTGTATAATATTCTATAGTTTAGGCAGACAACCGTAATACTCAATGAATTAATGTTAGCAAATTCGGTTCGGTAATAATAGATACATCTATAATTTTTTGTGCACCCTAAATTGAAATTCACCCAAACTAAAACGCTGTATTTATTTATTTATTTGAAAATTACTCACCACACTTACAGTTTTCCAAAACGTGTAGTGAGCCATAGTTTTATTTTACAAACTTACAAATTTTGTACAACATTTTAAAAATATATTTATTTTGTCATTAATCTGTCAATAATGTATCTTTTGCTCAAGTGAAATAAAGAATATAATACTAAAATTCGTAAATGTTCCTCTGGTATTTTTTGACAACCCTAGTCACAGTGTTAGGTTTTAACAGAGTACTTTTTTAGCTGGGCGCTTTAGATAACTACGTGTGCTCATATTGCATGTTACAAGTATATTAAGTTCAAATGATCCAGCTCAAACTCTAGTTTTTTAAGAGAATTTATTTATAATATTATATTT